CTCATTCCTTCTCTCGTTCCATCCTCTCTCCCTCCCTCTTTCCTCTCTCTCCCCTCCCTCTTTCCCTCCTCTCTTCCTCTCGTGGATTCTCTCTTCCTCCATCCCATTCTGTTTCCCCTCCCTCTCATTCTACTTCTCTTCTGATCTCCCTCCCTCCCTCCCTCCCTCCCCCTCCCTAACTCCCTACCCTTCCAGGCAGTAGACAAAACCTGATCGAGCAACGTTCAATCGACGTTGATTCATTGTTTATAATAACTGATAATTCAATCGTTAACACTATTGACAATCAACCTCACAATTCAGACTTCAAAGGAGTCGTTGGTTGTCACAATAGGAGCCAATCCTACTTAAAGAGGGGGCAATGGGGTCTATCCCTGGAACTATGTGACACTCGGCTTAAAATAACAAATCACTTTGTAATGTCTGATGAGATTAAGCTCAGCGTCTGGGCCCCGACCATGAGCAAACAGCTGGGCAGTTATTCTCGTATAGATGTACCATGGGGGTACCCGGCATTGCCCAGGTGCCTCTATCCTCTTTATCTCTTTCTCCGAGCCTGAGTCTCTCTCTCTCTCTCTCTCTCTCTCTCTCTCTCTCCGAGCCTGCCCCCCCTCTCTCTCTCTCTCTCTCTCTTGTCTCTCTCATCGTCTCTCAGAATATACAATATTATTAACAGCTGAAAAACTGCTGAAAACTCTTTGAAACAAAACGACTTCCATTTCAGACTTCTTGGTAGTGATAGGATTTCCAATGGAAAGTCGACTTTCCCTATAGAGGGGCAGTGAGGCCATCACCGACCCTCCTATGACAGCCACCAACCCCCCATCAGTCACGCTGCAAAGTTGGGTGAAGCTAGCCCTAAGCGTCTAACCTCCAACCTCGGACAAACAAATTGGAACAAATGTTCTATTTAGATATAGATATTTGGTAGATATAGATATTATTTCTGAGTACATTATGTCCGGCGCGATGTTCAGATAGCGGGACAAAGCGTCGGTGTTACAGAGGATCGTTAAAGAGGGTGATGGATAGCGTGATATCTTATCCACTTGTGATATGTTCTTTACTACAGGTGCCACCTGTTCTTGCCTCCAGACTACACGTTGAGACTTTGGTTAGTCGTTGAGACTTTGGTTAGTCGTTGAGACTTTGGTTAGATGTTGAAACTTTGGTTAGACTTTGAGACGTAAACACCATTCTCATATTCCTGTCGTGTCTTATCTGAATTATTTGTAAACATTCATCTTTTGCACACTTTTGTATTCACAATTTATTCATCCTGCAGTTGGTGCTTTCCTTGCTTAATTTATTGCTAAATTCATTCCTTCATTTAAAACATTTCTTCTGAACATTTTCGTACACAACATTTCCATAGTCATGAAGGTAACTGAATCAAGGTACATTCTGAGTTTGAATCTTGTTTCATTCAAGATTCATTCACATGAACCTTGAATCAAAATGACACTATATTAGCTTGGGACATTACCACACAGCTATCCACCAGGCCTTATGGGAACCTTGTCATGGGGCTTAAGTGAGGCTTAAATGTACAATTAGAGATTAATGAAGGACAAACGGTGCATATAGATACATTAAACCTTCGAGTTAACGCTGGTGGTGAACCGCACTGTATTCCCCTCCGCACCACATTCATAGCGTAAACAAAGGCAGACAATGCCATGGCCGAATTAGCAACAGTGTATCGTGTTTAGAAACCGTCAGCTCATTCAAGCGGGTCTTTCAACGTATCTGGCTGCTGATTTGATGTCGAATCCCTTGAACAATTACAGTGGTCGTTGAATTGAAGTGGTAAGGTGGTCAGCCCATTGTGGTGGCCCAGGGGGCCAGTCCATTGTGGTGGCCCGATGGTCAGCCCATTGTGGTGGCCTAGGGGGCCAGTCCATTGTGGTGGCCTAGGGGGCCAGTCCATTGTGGTGGCCCGATGGTCAGCCCATTGTGGTGGCCCGATGGTCAGCCCATTGTGGTGGCCCGAGTGGTCAGCCCATTGTGGTGGCCCAGGGGGCCAGTCCATTGTGGTGGCCCGATGGTCAGCCCATTGTGGTGGCCTAGGGGGCCAGTCCATTGTGGTGGCCCGATGGTCAGCCCATTGTGGTGGCCCGAGTGGTCAGCCCATTGTGGTGGCCCAGGGGGCCAGTCCATTGTGGTGGCCTGATGGTCAGCCCATTGTGGTGGCCCGAGTGGTCAGCCCATTGTGGTGGCCTAGGGGGCCAGTCCATTGTGGTGGCCCGATGGTCAGCCCATTGTGGTGGCCCAGGGGGCCAGTCCATTGTGGTGGCCCGAGTGGTCAGCCCATTGTGGTGGCCTAGGGGGCCAGTCCATTGTGGTGGCCCGATGGTAAGCCCATTGTGAAGGCCCGAGTGGTCAGCCCACTTTGGTGACCCCCATAAACACAATCTCCCACACAGAATTCCGAAGATAATCATCGATCTTCCGCAGAAGACGGAGCTCTGCGGGGTCCACATCTTGACAGACAGGCTGTCTACCTCAAGACCACGAGCTGGGAGCCCATCACAGGTTTCAATTTCGGAGCTCAGTCGAAGGAGAGGATTCCATATTGATCTGCGGCCGGGTCAGTCGCTCGGTCTCAAGGATTCTTGCCCATAAGGCAAATATTTAATCATTTCAATATTGGATATCCACCGTTAATATTTAGCCTGCAGCGGACCCTATATATATATATATATATATATATATATATATATATATATATATATATATATATATATATATATATATATATATATATATATTATATATATATAATTATATATATATGACTGAAACTCACTCCCCAGAAGTGACTCGAACCCATACTCCCAGGAGCAACGCAACTAATAACTACAGGGCGCCTTAATCCGCTTGACCATCACGGCCGGATAAAAGGAAGTGGTAGCTGAAGCTATTTGAACCACTTCCCCGCCGGCAACTCGGATGGTAATCTTGGGCATAGCATTTCACCAAATCACCTCATTCTTTGGGGCACACGTGAGGAACACAAATGCGAACAAGCCTGAATGGTCCCCAGGACTATGTGCGACTGAAAACTCACACCCCAGAATTGACTCGAACCCATACTCCCAGGAGCAACGCAACTGGTAACTACAGGGCGCCTTAATCCGCTTGACCATCACGGCCGGACAAAATAGCTTCGGCTACCACTTCCTTTTGTCCGGCCGTGATGGTCAAGCGGATTAAGGCGCCCTGTAGTTACCAGTTGCGTTGCTCCTGGGAGTATGGGTTCGAGTCACATATATATATATATATATATATATATATATATATATATATATATATATATATATATATATATATATATATATATATAATATATATGCGGAAAATCCACAGAGAAATGGAAGAGAGAGATGAACGTTTCGGCCGATCTGGGCCTTTGTCAACACCGGACTGAAAGAAATCACAAAGGAAGAAAGAGTGGAGGCAGACACTAGATCCTGACCATCTCCTTAGGAAAGAATTAACCAGAAAAAGGTATAGATTAGCTTAGAATGGTCAGAAGGATTTAAGCGGTAAAAATAAAAGATTAAAGAAAAAGCCTCACTGAACCTACATAAAATATTAATATAATATTGTTATGAGACAATGTAACTCTCCCTATCATGGTTTTTTCTTAAACTGTTGTGCAATATTGTAACTTAAAACTGGGTCAAGTTTGTGCATACTAGTACGAACATTGAGAAGATTTGGACATTGACTAATTAGGGCAGACTCAATTAAATTCCGTTCCACAAAGCCATTGCAATTGGTAATGCTTTTCGCCCCATCCCAATTAATAGTGTGATCACACAAACTTGTGTGTAGATACAAAGCATTAGACGTTTGGGCAGTTCTTATACTATAAGCATGTTGATAAACACGTAATTGTAAGGACTTTCCTGTTTGTCCAAGGTACACAGACTCACAATCATTGCAGGGAATCGAATACACACAACCTGCTGTACCAGGGGAGTTTTTTTTATTAAATTAGACTTGATCGTATTATTACTGAACACCAAATTGATATTAAGGTTCTTAAAAACTGGGGAAAGTTTCTCAAATCCCATCGCATAAGGTACCACCAATGAGTTTCTGTTTTCTGGTTTCGCTTTGGAGACATTATTATAAAACGTACGTTTAGCTTTCCCAAACAAACAATCCAAAAACATCTTAGGGTACTGTAAACTCTTTCCAATTTCATATATTTTAGCTATCTCTTCATCAAAAAACTCCGGGCTGCATACCCTCAAAGCTCGAAGAAACATTCCTGAAAATACTGTCTGTTTAACTTTACTATATGATGATTCGAATAATAATAAACAAACGACCCCACGTTGGTAGGTTTTCTATACACATTAAATTTGAACTTTGTATTGACTCTATGAATCATAATGTCCAAAAACGGAGGAGCACCAGTCTCCTCATTTTCACATGTGAATTTTATTGAAGGTACCAAATAATTAAGTTCATTAAGAAAAACAATTTGGTCTTGGTCACTCGGCCATAAGCACAAAATATCGTCGACATATCTAAACCAGGCAACATTAGAGGGGATAATCCTGGATAAGATTTTTGTTTCGAAGAACTCCATATATAAATTGCTCAAAACTGGTGATAGGAGATTGCCCATTGCCATTCCAAATGTTTATTTGAAAAGTTTTCCATTGAAACTGAAATAATTGTCTTTTATACATAATTTGATAAGTTCCAACACACTATTGGTCTGCAAGCTCAAATTATATTTAGTACCAAACAGAGAGGAACCCAAGCACCACACTGCCAGACTCACCAAGAGTACCAAACAGAGAGGAACACAAGCACCACACTGAGAGACTCACCAAGAGTACCAAACAGAGAGGAACCCAAGCACCACACTGAGAGACTCGCCAAGAGTACCAAACAGAGAGGAACACATGCACCACACTGAGAGACTCACCAAGAGTACCAAACAGAGAGGAACACAAGCACCACACTGAGAGACTCACCAAGAGTACCAAACAGAGAGGAACTGTCCCAAGTGGAAGCAGAAGGTCCAGCGGTAGTGCATTCTGAGGACGAGGCCGTCACACGTGGCTGTGCAGACCTGGTTAGCTCTGCTCTTGATCAGGTTGACCACAGTGGCCAGGAGGGAGCGGATGTCCATCCCACCGCCAAAACTGGGCGCCATCTTGCGTCCTGATGTCAAGGCAGAAAGTCAAATTAGTCAAATTTATTGCATATGAGGAGTCACAATAACGTGGCTGAAAAATGTTGATCAAAAAACACACTAGAAAGTGAAGGGACGACGACGTTTCGGTCCGTCCTGGACCATTCTCAAGTTAATTGTTCATTTGATATATCACACAATCGACTTAATAATAGTCCAGAACGGACCGAAACGTCGTCGTCTCTTGACTTTCTAGTGTGTGGTTTGGTCATTAAATTTATTCTTTAGTGCCAAATATGTTTTTAATAATGTAATGATATGTTATTTAAACATAATATTTATGTTTAAATATATTTACAGGTGATAGCATATTTAAGTTTGAATTAAAACATGTACAAAAATATAAAGAACGTACCCGGGCACTACCGAGCACCTCCTATATATATATATATATATATATATATATATATATATATATATATATATATATATATATATATATATATATATATATATAATATAACCACCTTGACCACTATCTACGTAAATGTGAACACCTGAGAGACATTAGAAATATGTGTAGAATAATAAACCCCACATTGAGTTAGGAAAACACTGTCAAATTGTGATACTGTTCTCAAAAGATTCGCTCATTTTGCACCCGCAAGATAACGTAAGATTTTAAGTGTTGACGAATGTTAATCTTCTTGTTTGAGGAGCTGTTCACTTGAGACAGTTAAGCAAGTCCAGCTGTGTCTGAGTACAAGTGACAGGATGAACAACTCAGTGGGTTTTCTTCCTATTGGGGAGTGTTGTACATGCTGCTATAGCGGTGTGTCCACTCACAGGATGAGTGACGCTGCCCAGTAAACTCGCCCCTCGGGGCAAAATTAAAAACAAAAAAAATTATGAATGAATCTTTAGAAACGGACACGGAAAACTTGAGCAGGATGTGTGGCAGTCAGAGGGAAGGGTAAGGGATGGTTGTGAGGGGTTTGGGAGGGGATATAGTGGGAGGGAGGACAGGGTAGTATGGGTAGGGAAGGTCGGAGAAGGGTAAGGGGCAAGCAATGAGGGCGTTAGCGAGGGTATTGGGGAAGGGAAGGTTAGCTATGTGTGGGACGGATTATAGAAGAGAGGGGAAGCTAGCTGTAAGAGTTTGAGGGAGGGGGGTCGGGCTTTGAGGGTGAGTGTAAGGGGAAGGATGGGGGGGGGACAGGATTCACGAGTGGGGGCGTAGAGGAGGGGAGGCTACCTGCAATGGTGTGGGTGGGGGTGCAGGAGTAGAAGAGTGGGGTGTGAGAGGAGATAGAGGGGAATAGAGGGGAAGGTTGTATTCACCTAGTTGTGCTTATGGGGGTTGAGCTCTGGTCCCGCCTCTCGACTGTCAGTTGACTGGTGTACAGATTCCTCAGCCTACTGGACTCTATCATATCTACATTTGAAACTGTGTATGGAGTCAGCCTCCACCACATCAGTGCCTAAGGTATTCCACATATAAACTACTCTGACACTGAAAAAATTCGTCTAACGTCTCTGTGGCTCATTCGCGTACTCAGTTTCCTCCTGTGTCCCCTAGTTCGTCTTCCACCCGTGCTAAATAGTTTCTTTCTCTAACCTGTCATTTCCCCTGAAAATTCTATAGGTGGTGATCATGTCTCCCCTTACTCTTCTGTCTTCCCGGGACGTGAGGAAGACAGAAGAGTAAGGGAAGTAATGACTATTCCCGTAGATTCCGCGTAGCTCATACCTCACAGAGCTGGGACTTGTCTGGTGGTATAACTATCTTTTCGAACGTAGTCTTGTGCTTAACTAGGTATGGTTAAGCTGGAGCTGTGAGTGGGGAGGGGAGGTAAAGAGTAGGTGGCAGGTTGTGAGAGTGGGGCATGGGGTATAGGCGACAGGTTGTGAGGGTGTGGCAGGCATCAAGCTATGATAATATGGTCTGTAGTGCTGGGGACAGGGTAAGCTGCGAATGTGTGGAAGGGGATTCAGGGGCAAAAGAGCAGGCTGTGAGTACGTGGAAGGGGATGAAAGGGAAGGGAAGGGAGGGGGGGAGGCAAGCTGTGAGAGGGGTGGTCTGTGGCACACGGGAAGGATGACAGGCTCTGTGGGTGTGAAAGGAGATACAGAGAGGGTGGAAGTCTGTTAGAGCCTGATCATGGGTACAGTTTCGAGAGACAGGCAGTGTAGGTGATGAGAAGTTGAGAACCGCTTAACAATAAACAGAATTTATTAAAAATTAAAAAAAAAAGGTCGTATCTCATGACAGGATGGGGTTCGAGGGTGGAGTGGAAGTGCTGTTCAGGACCAAGTGAGGAAATAGGATCTTAAATTTCAGTTGGTGAATCCTGATTAATGAACTGGTGAGTCACGACACGTCGCACTGGTTGTAGTCCCAGAGAATCCTGTTATTCCTATTCGTTGTCGTGGTTTAACGACCAGGGGCGACGCTGAGGCTGCTGTATTACCATGATACTGGGCATTCACACACACACACACACACACACACACACACACACACACACACACACACACACACACACACACACACACACACACGCGCGCGCGCACACACATATAATGGTAGCCTGGTAGCCTGGTGGATAGCGAGCAGGACTCTTAATTCTGTGGCGCGGGTTCGATTCCCGCATGAGGCAGAAACAAATGGGCAAAGTTTCTTTCACCCTGAATGCCCCTGTTACCTAGCAGTAAATACGTACCTTGGAGTTAGTCAACTGTCACGGGCTGCTTCCTGGGGTGTGTGTGTGTGGTGTAGAGAAAAAAAGTAGTAGTAGTAATTAGTAAACAGTTGATTGACAGTTGAGAGGCGGGCCGAAAGAGCAAAGCTCAACCCCCGCAAACACAATTAGGTGAATACACACACATACACGCACACACACGCGCGCACACTAGCACACACTAACATTATTAGATTGCACTTCAGGAACAGGTTGTGGAAGCAAATACTATTCATAATTTTAAAACTAGGTATGATACGGAAATAAGACCGGAGTCATTGCTGTAAAGAACCGATGCTCGAAAGGCAGGAGCAAAAAGTCAATGCTCGATCCTGCAGACACACATAGGTGAGTACAAATCGGTGAGTACACTCACCGGGTTCGATTCCAAGCGGAGGCGGAAAGAAATGGGCAGAGTTTCTTTCACCCTGATGTTACTGTTCACCCGGCAGTAAATATGTACCTGGGAGTTAGACAGCTACAACGGTCTGCTTCTTGGAGATGTGTGTGTATGTGTGTGTCTTGAAGAAATATGTGTAGTAGACATAATAGAGGAATAATAAATTGGTTAGAAAGACGGGGTTCAAGAACTAATAGCTTGATTCTGCAGATACAAATAGTAAAATTTACACACATAGGCGGGACCAAAGAGCCAAAGCTCAACCCTCACAAGCACAACTAGGTGAGTACATCTAGGCGAGAACACATACACCTACCTCTGGCACTGATGAGTCACAAAAAGGGGAAATTACCCAACTGCTGGAGGAAGGCAAATGTTGTACCAATCGATAAGAAAGAAAATACACAAGAGGCAATTAACTACAGACCTGTGCCACTCACAATCATCCCTTGCATTGTACTCGAAGTACTTAACAAAGTATGGTTAAGACTAGTTATACACCTAGAAAGAAATTGGGTATGGAAGCTAGCATCAACATGGCTGTATGGAACAAGACTCATGCCTAACAAACCTACTAACGTTAAATTATAAGTTATCAAAAAAGACAAACACAGAAGGCTGACCAAATTATATGTTTCTGGACTGCCAAAAAGCCTTTGCCACAGTACCATACAAGAGACTACTATACAAACTCGAGAGGTAGGCGGGAGTAAGCGGAAACACACTAACATTAGAAGAAAATATATTAGTTTTACATATATTAGTTATATTAGCATTTACAATGCTGGTTAGCATTGTAAATGTGTGGCCACGTCTGTGGTAGAAAATAATAAAAAACAAAAAACAAAAATTAACGAGAAATTACCCAACAGACAGGAGTCAGTGTGATGGTCAGGGGCGAGAAGTCGGACTGGTGTCAGCTAACAAGAGGAGTACCGCAAGGATCGATGCTGGGACCCATACTATTCCTCGTTTATGTAAATGACCTGACTGAAGAAGTAGGGTCTAATATGTTGATGTTTGTAGACAATGCGAAACTAATGAGAAGGGTTGAGATAAATGAGGATTGTAAGATTCTGCAAGATGACTTAAATAGCCTGCAGAGCTGATACCAAAAAATGGCTACTAGAGTTGAACATCAGCAAGTGTAAGGTGATGGTAATGGGAACAGGAGCTAGGAGGCCGAGAAAGCTAGCATATAACGAAGTGAAACACTCTCCATAAAACAACCAGAAAAAAAAGTCCTGTAAGTGAACACATCAAATCTAACTCCAGAAGCTCATAAAAATACATTAACGTCAGGAGGATACTCAACACTAGCAAAAGTCAAAACTTCTTCAGTAACTTGAATAAGGAAGCTTTCAGATCACTGTATACCGCCTGTGTGTGGCCAGTCATAGAGTATGCCGCCCCATCCTGGAGCCCTCATCTTAATAAAAAAATAAAAAATAAACATAAATATGCTCGAAAAGATGCAGAAGTTTGCAACAAGACTCTTCCCAGAGTTGCGATGGATGAGGCATATATTTATTATTGGATTTATTAATATATATATATATATATATATATATATATATATATATATATATATATATATATATATATATATATATATATATATATATAAAACCATGGCTGACAGGAGGAACGTTCCGTCGGTAGGAACAATGGGACTGGCACCGAGTGTGTGTAATCGCCAGTCATGACAAACAAGGCATGAAGGAAGGGGCGAGGAATCTACTTCCATGCCTGCTTCCCACTATAATATTTTACTTCTCAACTTGACAAAGTAAAGAAGTACTAACACGTTATAAGCAACAACAATAAAGTATTCGTCATATAGTAAAGGGGAAAAATGATTTTGAAAAACATTGTAAAGTTTTAGTATCGTCAAACACGAGTGAATTGTTTTGCTGTTATTCGCTTTGCCGGTGTTTGAGAGAGTTGTTCCTCTTGAGCCTAAACCATTAATCCAGTTGTGATGAAAGGTAAATTTTTGATTTTATCTTGTATGTGTGGCAATTAGATTTTGTAGTATATTCGTGAGTATTTTACTGAGGATGGGTAGTTTACTGATGAAGGGATGGGTAGTTTACTGATGAAGGGATGGGCAGTTTACTGATGAAGGGATGGGCAGTTTACTGATGAAGGGATGGGCAGTTTACTGATGAAGGGATGGGTAGTTTACTGATGAAGGGATGGGCAGTTTACTGATGAAGGGATGGGCAGTTTACTGATGAAGGGATGGGCAGTTTACTGATGAAGGGATGGGTAGTTTACTGGTGAAGGGATGGGCAGTTTACTGGTGAAGGGATGGGTAGTTTACTGGTGAAGGGATGGGCAGTTTACTGATGAAGGGATGGGCAGTTTACTGATGAAGGGATGGGCAGTTTACTGATGAAGGGATGGGCAGTTTACTGATGAAGGGATGGGTAGTTTACTGGTGAAGGGATGGGTAGTTTACTGGTGAAGGGATGGGCAGTTTACTGGTGAAGGGATGGGCAGTTTACTGATGAAGGGATGGATAGTTTACTGATGATTGCATTGACAGTTTACTTGGAAAGGAAAAGACAGTCTACTAATGAGGAAGAGGTAGTTTAGTGAGGCCAATTTTGTTTTGAACTTTTTATCTCAGTTGATATGCTTAAGAACCTTCCCAAGGTCGCTTTCAGACCAGGACTGCTGGGAACCTTCCCAAGGTCACCTACAGACCATAGCTGCTGTGAACCTTCCCAAGGTCACCTACAGACCATAGCTGCTGTGAACCTTCCCAAGGTCACCTACAGACCATACTGCTGTTAACCTTCCCAAGGTCACCTTCAGACCATAGCTGCTGTGAACCTTCCCAAGGTCACCTTCAGACTAGGACTGCTGTGAACCTTCCCAAGGTCACCTTCAGACCAGGACTGCTGTGAACCTTCCCAAGGTCACCTTCAGACCAGGACTGCTGTGAACCTTCCCAAGGTCACCTTCAGACCAGGGCTACCGGAAACATCCCCAGGTCTCCACAAATGTTGCCAACCTATTAAAAGAATTCAGTTTCATACGCAACAATCCACACAATAATCTTATTAAGAGAGAATATTATTTTAATGAGAAGAAATTTATGTTTATATGTAAAACACCAACAGTGGAATAAGAAATAAGAAATATGTTTAAAAAACACACACACATTTCCAAACATATTTGTCAAATTAATTGTTGTAGTATTGGGGTGCTTTAAGCTCCGTTATGCATTGTTACGTGTATAGTGGAGTTCATTTAATTTAATGAGTATATTAAATGACTCAAATTTTGTTTACAAAATATCATATCGTATGTAAATTCACTTGGTGATTATACCACTCTCTTTGTACAGACTCGTCTGATGTGCAATTGATATAAAAAATGTTTTTTTTTTATTTTGTTGTGGCAATTAGGACTGGCAGAGTCATTGCAACTTGTATAGAATTTTTCCCAACTATAAATCATTTTGAGAGTATTTGTATTTGCGGCTTCATATAAATTACACTGTAAACCTAGATAAACTTAACGCTGTTGTTTTTTTCAAATTTAATTTATATATGTTATGAATATTATTATAGTATTAGCAAAGATATAACTCAAACGGAGAAGAGAGAACCACTGGTGGTGTTTACTGGAGAACAGCTGATACAATGTTTACTGGGAGAACAGCTGACACAATGTTTACTGAGAGAACAGCTGATACAATGTTTACTAGGAGAACAGCTGACACAATGTTTACTGGGAGAACAGCTGATACAATGTTTACTAGGAGAACAGCTGACACAGTGTTTACTGGGAGAACAGCTGATACAATGTTTACTGAGAGAACAGCTGACACAATGTTTACTGAGAGAACAGCTGATACAATGTTTACTAGGAGAACAGCTGACACAGTGTTTACTGGGAGAACAGCTGACACATTGTTTACTGGGAGCACCACATGGCCTCATCCGTTGCTATATTTCCAACCCATCCTTTGCCCTGAGACAATAGTAAAAATTCCGACTATCGTCGACGTTAATAAGTCAGTAATTGACTAACACATCTGGTACCAACTCTCAGAAGGCATGTTTCATGCGATACGATACATACCGGTATTTCCTCGAATGGAAATGAATAACATATTCTCCTTCAAAGCCGTGTCTGAAGCATTTCCGAAAAATGTGATCGTGTATGTTAAAATTCTCCTGTGAATGGGTAACACGTTTTCTGAAAATTTTTGGGGAGAAAAACGTTCTTTTTCAAAACTTATTTTCTACAATGAGGAGTGTTGTAGAAAACTTTCAAGACTTCTAGTACAAATGGAAGACAAATTTGGTTCCTAATTACAACTTTTGCCTCCTTCCTCCACCTCTCGAAGTTCCCTCATAATTGAGACTAATTACCCACCAGAGGTCTAATGACTCGGACTGCACTATTACCTCCGAACACACCAGGTGTCAGGAGTTATTTACGTCGCCAGCGGACGCTGGTGTACTGTATGGTACAGAAGAAAATGTAAATATGCTGATTAGCATTGTTAATGTGTGGCCACGTCTGTGGTAGAAAATAATAATAATAAAAAAAAAAACTTACTGTATTAAGACGTACGTCTTTAACTACAGGTGATTGATCAACAACTTGTTATTATTAGTCATTATTAATTATTACTCATTACTCATTATTACTCATACATTACTCATAGTCATTATTAATAATTTACAGGGAGCCGGTCGGCCGAGCGGACAGCACGCAGGACTTGTGATCCTGTGGTCCCGGGTTCGATCCCGGGCGCCGGCGAGAAACAATGGGCAGAGTTTCTTTCACCCTATGCCCCTGTTACCTAGCAGTAAATAAGTACCTGGGTGTTTGTCAGCTGTCACGGGCTGCTTCCTGGGGGTGGAGGCCTGGTCGAGGACCGGGCCGCAGGGACACTAAAGCCCCGAAATCATCTCAAGATCATTATTTATAATAATTATAAGAGGCTCAATTTTTTTTTTTTTTTTTGTACGGAGAATTTAGGCCCAAAATTTCTTCTACCGAATTTCATTTGTTAATATTTTTAACTTCATAATTTACTGTTAACTCGGTGAGTTTGCTTCATGAAAAGAATTGCAATTAGCAACTTTTAATGCCTATATGTGAGCTGTGAAATTTTAATTAATGGTTATCACCGCTTAAAATTACACACATTACATATATGAGTTCAAAAATCCTGACTTATATTGGACCCAGAGTTTGTGAAGAATTATGGAAAATTCTATATCCTGTATTTTAGGATATATATAGGATATAGGAAATTTTCCTATAATATTATAGGATATAGGAAAACCAGAGAATGTAATCGTTTGTGACTATGTAAAGCTCACCCCTGCCTCCCCCCCTTACACCATCACCCCTTCCATACCACTTCCATCCCCCTTCCATCCCCCACCCCTTCCATCCCCCTTCCACCCCTTCCATCCCCCTTCCACCACACCGTCCCCTTAACACCCCCCCCCCCCCCCAGCCACAGCTTGTCTAATTGGTGAATCGTGAGCGCGCGCGCACACACATGCACAGTTTCAAGTGTAGATATGATAGAATTCAATAGGTAAAGGAACCTGTACACTAGTTGATTGACGGTAACACACACACTCCTCCTTCCTCCTGCCTCTCGAAGGCCTTGACAGGCCTGTTAAGAAGGCCTTGACAGTCCTGTTAAGAAGGCCTTGACAGTCCTGTTAAGAAGGCCTTGACAGTCCTGTTAAGAAGGCCTTGACAGTCCTATTAAGAAGGCCTTGACAGGCCTGTTAAGAAGGCCTTGACAGTCCTATTAAGAAGGCCTTGACAGTCCTGTTAAGAAGGCCTTGACAGTCCTGTTAAGAAGGCCTTGACAGCATTAGAAAGTGATGTGGTGGAGGCTGACTCCATACACAGTTTCAAGTGTAGATATGATAGAGCCCAGTAGGCTCAGGAATCTGTACACCAGTTGATTGACGGTTGAGAGGCGGGACCAAAGAGCCAGAGCTCAACCCCCGCAAACACAACTAGGTGAGTACACACACGAGACGGGACACCACGAGCGTAGCTCTCATCCTGTAACTACACTTAGGTAATTACACACACACACACACACACACACACACACTGGCAGAAAGCATTTAATGCTCTCTCACTCAAGTGGCTTATATGGCAGCTGTAGAAACAATCCCGAGTAATGTGTAGAATACTAGAGTGAAAGAGCGACTAATGCACCAGAGTGCGACAGTGCCAGCTTAACACACTGGGGCAATTGGCTAGTGTGGCCCTCATGATGCTTGAGGGCCACATGTTGCCACATGAACAATATATGAACAACATATATTGTTCATGCGAGACCTCCTGGCATAGTGGATCATTACTCGACCTCTCGCTGGAAAGGCTTGGGGATTCAAATCCCTTTTTAATTTGTATTTATAATAGAGTTAATTTGTGCTGAACCATCTGTTGGTAATTTGCACTTTAGCGGAGGGGCGGGGCCCTATAGTGCCTTGCTCTGCCCAGGGCCTCAGTCCTGTTAAGACGGCCCCTGACAGTCCTGTTAAGAAGGTCCCTGACAGTCCTGTTAAGACGGCCTTGACAGTCCTGTTAAGAAGGCCCCTGACAGTCCTGTTAAGAAGGACTTCGCAGTCCTGTTAAGAAGGACTTCGCAGTCCTGTTAAGAAGGACTTGACAGTCCTGTTAAGAAGGCCTTGACAGTCCTGTTAAGAAGGCCCCTGACAGTCCTGTTAAGAAGACCCCTGACAGTCCTGTTAAGAAGGCCCCTGACCCTGTTAAGAAGACCCCTGACAGTCCTGTTAAGAAGACCCCTGACAGTCCTGTTAAGAAGACCCCTGACAGTCCTGTTAAGAAGGCCCCTGACAGTCCTGTTAAGAAGGCCCCTGACAGTCCTGTTAAGAAGGCCCCTGACAGTCCTGTTAAGAAGACCCCTGACAGTCCTGTTAAGAAGGCCCCTGACAGTCCTGTTAAGAAGACCTTGACAGTCCTGTTAAGAAGGGCCCCTGACAGTCCTGTTAAGAAGGCCTTGACAGTCCTGTTAAGAAGGCCTTGACAGTTCTGTTAAGACGGCTTTTACAGTCCTGTTAAGACGGCCTTTACAGTCCTGTTAAGAAGGCCCCTGACAGTCCTGTTAAGAAGGCCCCTGACAGTCCTGTTAAGAAGGCCCTGACACTCCAGGGTTCTGTATACCACTGAGATTAGTTCTGGAATATGTTGCGCCAGCTTGGAGTAAGTACATCATTTGATACACAACGAAGCTGAGGAAGGTCCTGAGGAATGCCAGGACAACACCTCAGAGCTATGAGTTACAAAGCAAAACTAAGCAGAAATATCCATCATGTCACTGAGAAAAAGATGAGAGAGGACATAATCACCACATACAAAATTATATCAATGGAATATATAGGGTAGAACAAGATATATTATCCAGCATGAATGGAATGCCATCAAAGTAACACAAGTAACACCAAAGTAACAGAGTGAGCCACCTTGAGGCTACCTTGAGGTGCTTCCGGGGCTTAGTGTCCCCGCGGCCCGGTCGTCGACCAGGCCTCCTGGTTGCTGGATGATATAAAGGATGTTATCAAACAAAACACAAAAATAGTCAGCGGAGAGCAGTGATAAAGATGAATAAACAAAGAAACGCTGCAAAGAAGCAGAATCCGTGAATAGCTTTAAATGTAAAACAATTTATAACAGGGGTATCCGATAGCTGGAGTCGAACCCTGGGATGTGCTGCTACGTTGAGTACACATACACACACACGTACACACACATTCAAAAACATACAAAAGCCTCGTTCTGTTGCAAGAGAAGGAGGACAGTGACAAGAACATCAAGCGAGTACCACCCACGTCCTCGACCCCAGCAATCACCACAAGTGGCAAGTCTTCTTTAGACGAATACGAACAAAAACAAATAAAAAAAGACAGTGACTAACGCGAAAAAAAAAGTTTTAACGTTGAAATTATAAGCATATCTTTCTTGTTTCATGGTTATTCCTTATAGAGGGAGAAGGGAGGGGATTCACCCACCCACTGCTGTTACCTAGCAGTAAATAGGTACTCGGGAGTTAGTCAGCTGTCACGGGCTGCTTCCTGGGGGTGGAGGCCTGGTCGAGGACCGGGCCGCGGGGACACTAAAGCCCCGAAATCATCTCAAGATAACCTCAAGATAACCCCCTCCCCCCCAACACCCCACCCTCGAAACAAACATGCACTCACCCTTGTGTGTGTTTTTGTTCCCCTCGTTCGTCACCGTTGCAACGTGTGTGTGTGTTGTCTGAAGATGATAGTATTGAAAACATTAACATCAATATTTTCAAATACTGTCTCTCAATAGATTCATATTTGGACGGAACAATTTAGGTAGAGTTTTAAGTTCGTTTCCTTGTTTTGTGTGTGGCAATTGTAGGGTATAAAGTTAGGTTTAGCTCCACTTTCGTTTTCCTACCCCAACATGGCTCGACCTATCATCTCTCTCCACCCCTACATAGCTCGATCTATAATCTCTCTCCACCCCTACATGGCTCGACCTATCATCTCTCTCCACCCCTACATGGCTCGACCTATCATCTCTCTCCACCCCTACATGGCTCGACCTATCATCTCTCTCCACCCCTACATGGCTCGACCTATCATCTCTCTCCACCCCTACATGGCTCGACCTATCATCTCTCTCCACCCCTACATGGCTCGACCTATCATCTCTCTCCACCCCTACATGGCTCGACCTATCATCTCTCTCCACCCCTACATGGCTCGGCCTATCATCTCTCTCCACCCCTACATGGCTCGGCCTATCATCTCTCTTCACCCCAACATGGCTCGACCTATCATCTCTCTCCACCCCAACATGGCTCGACCTATCATCTCTCTCCACCCCAACATGGCTCGACCTATCATCTCTCTCCACCTCTACATGGCTCGACCTATCATCTCTCCACCCCTACATTGCTCGACCTATCATCTCTCCACCCCTAAATGGCTCGACCTATCATCTCTCCACCCCTACATGACTCGACGCCTCACTTCTGTTGTATTTGCAAAATATTCGACTACCTTTCATTTCTCGTCGTGAGGTTTAACAAAAGTAACAGTAGTAGGCATCCATCAGTCTCAGGAAACTATGGAGTTGTGCTCTGGTTGTCGGTCTGAAGTGGCCTCTCCAGGGCACAAGGCCAGGGTTGGTAGATACAGAGAAGAAGCTGTCACCCATGCAGCAGGTCCACCTCTCTCCACGGCGCCGAAAGTCTCCAATGGAAAGGCAAACGCACAATACGATTGGTTCCAGCGCCATCGCAGGAACTGTCAGTACAAGGTTGAAGCTAACAGGAACTGTCCCAGGGGCTCCAGCTCCGGAAGTTGGTTTAACGAAATATGTTATCACAACGCTGTTAGTCTTCTGAGACGACCATTTGGTTGAAATTGGCACTCATGTGTACAAGAGTTCCAATGAGTGAGTGTCCAATTGGCACTCATGTGTACGAATATAAGGAAAATGGTTCAAGCCCAAGTCTGATTCCTTAAATAACTTATATAAAATCGTTTATACAAACTCTATTTACATTCATGCATAATTAAAGCCGGTTCTTACTTGGCTGTCTTTAGCAAAAACAACATTTTACCTCTCTGGTTCAAGTTGTTTAAGTTTATTAAGATTAAGTAGTTTAGTTTAAACTACTTTATCTCAATAAATTCATCCCAGAAGAATAGAGTAACTTAGGCCATTTCTACCTCTCGTAACTATCTGGTCATCGATCAAAACCTTTCTTCGCATCATATGTCCCTAACTCTGAAGCGTCACTACAACACTCCAAACCATATCACTATTCCAGACCATAATCACCCTGTTCAGTTCCCGCGCGACTCGACAAACTACAGCGCTGTTGGGTGGCCGGACATCGTCGCTACGACAGGCGGAGGAGAAGTGGCCTTAATGTGCTGGGACTGTTCCTTCAAGCTAAATGGCCTCGTTTCTCCCCTCCTCGCCGCTCTGATCTGTCAGTCACAGCCATCAGTCACTATACACCCTGAATCGCCAGATACAACTGGACTATGCAGACGAGGAGTCACAATAACGCAGCAGAAGATATGATGATCAAAACACACACCAGAAGACGATGAGATGACGACGTTTCGGTCCATCCTGGACCATTCTCAAGTCGATTCACTTGAGAATGGTCCAGGACGGACCGAAACGTCGTCGTCCCTTCACCTTCTAGTGTGTGGTCTGGTCAACCTAACCTTCCTAGGTCTAATACACGTTATCTGAGGCCTAATATGGTACATATGTGTTATATTAGGAATATGCAAGTTTGATTTTTAGCTTTATTTTGTCGGACTTTAAAAAGTGAATAGTACCAAATTCTACCATTTAATTGTCCATTACGTCTATGTACGTACGACGGTCCACACTGTTACAAAAAGGTACTACCTAAAAAAGGAGGATGGGTTGTTAAAACACCAGGACTCAGATTCACGAAGCAGTTACGCAAGCACTTACGAACCTGTACATCTTTCCTCAATCTTTGACGGCTTTGGTTACATTAAGTAAACAGTTTACAAGCATGAAAGCTTCCCAATCAGCTGTTGTTATTGTTATAAACAGCCTCCTGGTGCTTCGGAGCTCATTAACTGTTTAAAAGTTGTAAACAAAGCCGCCAAAGATTGTGAAAAGATGTACAGGTTCGTAAGTGCTGGCGTAACTGCTTCGTGAATCTGGCCCCAGTCACCCTCCTAACAACCAGGTACGTTTTCTATGTTCATCATAACAAGGGTTTCAGTAACACCAGGTCAGTGAAAACTTTCACATGTAATGATAATTCGTGTTTCTAAAAATGTAATTACGAAATTTTACTGACCTAGGAATACATATTGTTGTTAAATAACTTGTATGTAAAACAAATTAATATTGGCTACAATGCAGGCGATGAGTCACAATAACGTGGCTGAAGTATGTTGACCAGACCACACACTAGAAATTGAAGGGACGACGACGTTTCGGTCCGTCCTGGACCATTCTCAAGTCGATTGTCACAATCGACTTGAGAATGGTCCAGGACGGACCGAAACGTCGTCGTCCCTTCAATTTCTAGTGTGTGGTCTGGTCAAAATTGGCTACAATGGTGGCACTCTTGAATTATCGACATCTTAGCATTAATGCAATTTTATTCCATTAATTAAAATTAAATTAAATTAAGATTGCATTAAAAAATCAATGAAATTTTGCTTCCTGTCGGAAAAGCTGGGTTCAGTGATGGAGTAAGTGTGGGAACAGTGAACACAATATCTTTCTGCCAGTGGTGGTAGGATACAGTGCTTGCAGTATGACACAGCCGAAGGTGCTGGGAAGTCACACACATATGAACACATCAATGAGAAATAAACAAGTCTACTACGGGCTCACCATAGCCCGTGCTACTTTGAACTTTTTGTTCCAAGTAGCGAATCTTAAACAACGATGACATATGAGAGATATAACTCAAGGTAGGATTGCCTCAGGCGGCCAAGGCGTCAGGTTTCCACTGTTGCAAAGTAACAATATTGGACAATGGTCATAGTTACAAGCAGGATTTGAGTGCATTTTAACATCACTAAATTCTACCTATCCTTTCATGGCAGAATGAGTCGGCGGGAAGGCTAGAGGATGCTGGAGGATAGATCAAGTGACGTGATAGATGTGAATCCGTGCGAGTAATTGATAGTTCCTGCTTGTGTGATAATTATACCTCCCACACCTCATTCCACTCATCTCCTCTACACCCCACTCATTCTCCCCATACCCCACTCATCCTCCCACACCCCACTCATCCTCCCACACCCCACTCATCCTCCCACACCCCACTCATCCTCCCACACCCCACTCATCCTCCCACACCCCACTCATCCTCCCACCCCACCCCACTCATCCCTCCCACCCCCACTCATCCCCCCACACCCACTCATCCCCCCACACCCACTCATCCCCCCACACACTCCCCCCACACCCCACTCATCCCCCCACACCCCACTCATCCCCCCACACCCCACTCATCCCCCCCCACACCCAACA